AAGCTTCCCTGGGCTTCATAATGCAGAACTGCAGCTGTGTGTGTGAGATGAATGAAAACACCCGTGGAGTCGGGGTCAAGCTAGTTACTTCACGCACTGGCTTCCCTGGGCTTTACAATGCAGAGCCACGGGGGGAAAGGGGAAAAGTAATTAGCTGACAGTGCTAATCGATAAGCTCCTGCTTATCGATTAGTCGACTATTCGACTAGATGCTAACATCCCTATCCTAAACAAGGGGATTTGCCGAATGATGGGAGGTTCTTCCCAACATAGCCCATGCTGGCCTCGGCTAGGACTCCAGACAAGCCCTGCTGCTGCCTGCCCAGCTGTAGCTCCCCAGGCTGGAGCCCAGCAGTTGCTGGGGCTGGGGCTGGAGCTCTGTGACTGCCAGAGCCAGGGATCCGTGGCTGCCAGAGCTCCATGGCTGCTGCAGCTGCTGGGGCTCCCTGGAGGCTGCCAGCCCCTACCACTACCTGGCAGCAGGGACCAGAACTCCCTGCTGTGCCTCCCGCCCTTCCCTGAACATGGGGCTTCTGTCTGAATTGCGCCCACTGATTCTGCTCTGTGGCCTGACCTCCTTATAACTTGACTCTGTGGTCTAGGAGCATCCGTGGTCCTGTCAGACCAGATAGTCCAGGTTAAAGGAGGTACAACCTGTACTATTCAATACTGCATTGGTGGCCTTTGAAATCTCTCAGAATCCCTCGCTTCCAGCAGATGTGCTTAGAGTTATAGGACAAATATCCAGGAGGCATTGCAACAAAAGCAAATTAGAACAGCAGGAGCAAAGACATGGAACAAAACTGTAATGGTTCACAACACAAATCACCATGTCCAATGTGGGCACATACATTCACTGGGAGTTAAATTGGTTCCCTTCCACCAGGTCCATTAAGAACTGTTAATTCTCCAGGGTAGATGTAGTCAGAGTGAGTGCTGGAGGAAACAATGGCTTCTACTAAAGTTAGTGTAAATTGAGGGTGGGGAACATAAAGCCTTGGGGCCAGATATGGCCCCTTCACTTGCCCAGATATGGCCCCTGAGGCTTGGGACTCCCCCCAGCATTGGGGAGCCCACACTAGCACTCCAGCCCTCTACCGCCTCTCTGTGGGGTAGGAACACATAAAATCCCCCCCTGCCCTGCCCCCCCTCCCCCCGGCTCTGGTGTGCGAAGGGAATGAGGAGAGTGTCTTTCTCCTTCTTTGTCAGGAGCCACATCACTGAGGATTTGTTTTGTTTTGTTTTTTGCTTCTTACTTTTGTGTGGCCCCCAACTGATTTTTCGGTGGGTCAGCAGTCACGACCCAAAAAAGGTTCTCCACCCCGGGCTGCATCTAGACTGGGAAGTTTTTCTGCTAAAGCAGCTGCTTTTGTGGAAAAACTTGCCAGCTGTCTACACTGGCCGCTTGAATTTGCGCAAGAACACTAACGATCTCATGTAAGATTGTCAGTGTTCTTCTGCAAATACTTTGCTGCTCCCATGCAGGAAAAAGCCCTCTTGTGCAAATGTATTTCCGCAAGAGGGCCAGTGTAGACAGCTAAAAACTGTTTTGTGCAAAAAAGCCCCAATGGCGAAAATGGCGATTGGGGCTTTCTTGCACAAAACCGCGTCTAGATTGGTACGGACACTTTTCCGCAAAAGTGTCCGTGCCAATCTAGACGCTCTTTTCTGCAAATGCTTTTAACGGAAAAACTTTTCTGTTAAAAGTATTTGCGGAAAATCATGCCAGTCTAGACGTAGCCCTGGTATAAATGGTGCAAAGAGGAAGCAAGCACCAGAATATGTCATTAAATCCCATCAAACTGTGTAGGAATTAGGACAGAAAAGCAAACTGTAAAACTGGAGAATTACAAATCCAACAGGAAAACAAATGTCACCTTGACGCAACAGGGGTGGGGAATGAAACCCCTTTTCCCCAAATACTCCAACTTCAGGTCAGAATTTAGAGCACGAAAACAGCTTTTTTAGATTGCCATGACCCATACACACAACACAAGATCTGTGCCCAAAAGTTCCGTTCCTGCATCTCATACAGGATCTTGGGCAAGTCACTTCACCTTTCTGTTCTCTGCTTCTCCCATCTAGTCTTAATGTATTTAGAACACAAACTGCTCTGGCAACATAGGCATGCGCACAGGGTGTGCCGGGTGTGCCCAGGCACACCCTAATGTCTCAGGCTGGCTAGCCCAAGCCATTTTTGTGCCCTGGGCCCCACCTGGCCTGGCAGCACCATGTGGCTCAGAAGCACGGCACGGTGCCCCTGAGGCACCCGGGGCCCCCCCCACCGACCCGGCAGCACGGCGTGGTGCCCCTGAGGTGCCCCGGGCTAGGGCCCAGCCGGCCTGTAGCTTGGGCCGGCTCTGACTCCATCCCTGCAAATAGGAAGGCAGAAGCGGAAGGTAAGGTAACAGAGAGGATGGAAGGGGAAGGGGGGAAAATAAGAGGAAGGGGTGGAGAGGAAGGGGCTTGTGCTGACGGGAGGGGGCAGGTCAGGAGAAGAAAAGGAAAGGCACCAAGGGACAGGGTAGAGGAGAGATAAATGCCAGGGGGCCAAGTGGAGACAATGAGGAAAAGGGCAGGAGGGGAGGTGTCAGTGGGAGGGGGGACAGGGTGATGCTGGGAGAGGAGAGGGTAAGGGCACTGGGGGCTAGAGGGGGAAGGGAGAGGTGCTGTGAGAAGGCTTGAAAGAAGGGGTGGGCATGAGGAAGGCAGGGATGGAGCAAGGCATGTGTGAGGGCACGGGCATGAGGGGAATGGGGACAGAGGGTGGTGAGGGAGTGGGCACCAGGGAAAAAGGGGGCAGGGATAGTGAGGGAAGAGGGAGGCACCAGGAGGATGTAGGGCTAAGGGAAGGTGCAGGTGCCAGGGGATTCTGGGGGTGAAGCAGAAGGGCAGACACCTGCAGGGGAGGGACCAGCACCAGAGGAGAGAGGCAGGGCAGGTGTGTAGAGGGAGGTGTTAGGAGAGGGGATGAGGAGGGGTAGCTCACATGATCAGAGTGGGGCTACTGGAGGAGTGGGCACAGGGGGCAGAGAAGGGCTGGTGGAGGGGGGCAAGTCTCAGGAGGGCTGACGGCAGTGAGAAGGGCAGGAGTCAGGACAGCAGAGGCTGGTGAGGGGTGGGGGAGCAGCAGGCACCAGGGGAGCTGATGGAGCAAAGAGAGGAGACATGTCAGCAGAGGGAAAAGGTAGAGGTTTATGAGATATTTATTAATAACTTGGGTGCCACAGTGATACATCCAAACAAGCCACATGAACTCAGTACTGGTGCACAACACAAAAGTCATTCTGATCATGGGAGGAAATTCTGAGGGAACACTTCCCCCAGCCTCTCTGCCCCCGAGTTAATGTCACACACACTGGGTTAAAGCAACTGCAGGACATTTGCATGAGGGGGAGTTGGTGGGGGCCAAATTAATCCCTGTTGGTAGGAGGATGGTGGGAAAAGGCCTTGGGGGGTCACATGACACCTTTTACTTCTGGTTATGTGCCCATCTTGCCCCCACAGCGTTACCTCCAGAGGTGTGGCCAATGAGAGTCAGGGGGTGTGGTTAACAGGGGCCAGTGGTGTGGCTAATGGGAGTCAAAGTACATTTAAAAAAAATTCTTTGGGTGCACACCCTAATGATATGTGTTGCTCACGCCTATGTCTGGCAACAACTGTCTATTATTATGATTTTGTATGTTTTCTAGCACATTGGGGCCCTAAACTTGGTTGGGATCACTATGTGCTACTGGAATACAAATAATACCAAGAATCTCTTGTCTCAGTTGTGATCCCACTGACTCTGACCCCCATACACCCTTAGCCTGCATCATAAACTACCCTATGGCTTGCAAAGGCAAAGCAGGTCTGTGAGCAGGCACTGTCCTTTTTGATCTTGCCCTGGTGGTACTTGATTCTGCCCAGGGCTGATCAATCTTTCAGTCTTTTTTTACATCCTTTTTTGGCGGGGGAGGAGCTTAAACCAGTTTATAAGGAGCTGGTTGAAATGTTTCCAGCGTTCGACATTTCAGCCGTCGTTTTTGTGTGTGATTTTAATGTTTTCCTCTCATGACAAATGGCTCCAATGTTTTTCGACTTGGGCTGGCCCGCTGAGGAAGAGGGTGCGCGTACATGATTTCATTCCAAGGAGCTGGCCCCAGTGTCACTACCGCGGGGCGGCTTCGGAAGGCTGGTTTTAAACGCTGCAGTGGGAACGTGGCAGGCAGCTGTGGCGAGGGGTGGGGGCTGCCCGAAGACAGCAATGGTGATTATGCTGGGACTTCCCAGAATGACCGTGTCTGACACACGTGCCAGGAGGAGGGGCAGCTGTTA